CTGTGAAAGGAAACACAGCACAGTACATTAATAAACAACTGTAGGAGTCTTCTTCAGCCAGGAATAACTCAGGGCATTAAGGCTTGAGGTCTTTTGTCTAGAGTGCGGCAAGAAGTATAATGAAAACAAAAACACCAACACATAAAAATACAATTTATGCTCTTTTATCAAGCAAAGAAAAAGTTGGTTAACGTTTGAAAAGGGAGCAGTAATGTAAATGTATTGACAATTGTATTGTAATAATTAGATGTTTACACAGTCTGGACATCGTGGCTAAATCACTTCTAGCATGTTTATTTGCTAGACACTGCAGCAGGTTCATTAAGAAGACATACTGTATTAGGATTCAAAGAAACAACCAGCTCCCATTCTCCCCTTCTCTGTTTTATATTTACCAAGAGAAAAAAAAAACTACAAATAATGAAGTAAAATACAGAATTCCCTTCATGAGGAAAACAACTTCCCTCATGGCCCCCAAATAGCTTAAAAATAAATCTTCTATTGAATCTCTTACTACACCGCATTAGACCACCTTTAATGACTATAACTAGCTTTTAATATCTAGTGTGTAAATGGCAATCTGTTTTTGACCAAGAATAAATTATAGCAGAATATTAGGGAGGCTCTTGCTTCACTCCAAAAAAGACTCTCAAAAACCAAAAAGACAAAATTTAAAAAACTAGTATTTGTTTTAGATGAGAGACTTCTCAATATCTTCTGAAAGAGAAAAACCTCGTTTAGAGAGAAAAATTTCTCTTAAGCAGTCTCAAACCAGATTAATGGATTAAAATTGCACACTTGAATAATTTGACTGAATTTAAAATCTCTACGTGGCTCTCTTCCACTTATTTTTTGTCCTTCCATACTAATCTTTAATGTGTTGCTCTGATACGGTTTTCATATTTCCAAACTGAGCTAAAATGGAAATGACAGATTTTCAGTTACATAAAAATAGCAATGAAGTGTCAGGAAAAATACATTGTGAACAAAATAATCTTTAGGAAAGATATGAAAGGAGAATATTTTTTATAGCATGATATGGATCCAATAATAGAAGCACATTCAGGGCAATTATATCAATTTTTAAAATTTAAAAACTGTTTAAAAATTAAGGTACTAAATGCTAAGCTATAATGTGTTTCCAGCCTTAGTATACCTCCACTAGAATTAAGTAGTAATCAATATAGAGTATTTATTGCTATGAACCACAGCACCAGAGGAAGCAAAGGATGGTATGTTTAGAACTCAAAATTCTCTCCTATCCTTTAGGAAGAGGGGGAAAAGAGGATTTCCCCGTCTTGATCTTTAATCAGTTACCACAGTATACTGTATTCCCAACTACTGCTTTCCTTTACCAAAAGAGTATAGCAATGAAAATACATTATGAAAGCAATAATTTTCTAGTAAAGTTTAAGATGGTAAGAGAAACTTTTATTTTAGAAAACGAATAATAACAGGTACACAATATGACTATGTTTTTAAGTTGATGGAATTGATTAATGGCTCAAAATAATCAAGGACTCACATCACAGAGCACTATTTTAAAGAGACGTGCTAAAAATTAATTCTATACTATCATACCATAATGACGTTATCAAATACGTTACTGAAATTATATACAGCATAACATTACATATGATAATTGCTAGGCTAAATAATGGAATCTTCCATGACACTGTATGATAACAAATATATTTAATAATCTTAAATAAACTCAAACTTACTCTGATATCCACACTTCTAAGTAATCCAAGACATGAGAAATGAATTTTTAAAAAATCAGATCATGAAAGCCATTATTATTTGAAGGAATATGCTCAATTTTTTTAGATAATTTAAATTATTTAAGAGTGCTTTGCATTTTTTATTAGCTTTGCCTCAAGTTATAACATTAAAGCATTAAGGTTACACCTAATGAGGTTCTGTTTGCCCTTATTTCGAAGTCCCGTTTTTTCACAAACTACAAACAGAGATTAGTGCTAAATCACAAGGCTAATTCGATCAAATAAAATTGTCTCATTCTTAGATATGCATCTGAAGAAAATGTTTAACTACCAAGTGTGTATTCACATGCAAACAATCACAGATACCCGTCTGGAAGAAACAGTTCATAGAGGGAGCATATAGTGGTCGAAGGGAGCCTGTACAAGCATTTTCCTTAAGGTGTCTGTTAAGGAAAAATTCTCTGCTAAGTCCAACCAACTACAAACAACACTTACTTAAAGCCTATTATTCAGATGGATGGTTTTAAAACACCAAAGGTTTATTTTGAAAATTTACGGACAGAAGTGACATCTCTGCTATTGAAACCTCCATTAACAGAAAGTGACCACAGCTTGGAAACCAACGGCTTGATTCAAAAATGTACTCAGGATTATAGAGGAATTTAATCCCAAACTCCTCTAGGATGTCTGACATTAATTCTCATTAGAAAATAACAAAACCAACAGCTTACTAACATTACTCCAAGCAGCATTACAGCTAGTGCTGAACATTAAAAAAATTTTCCCTTGCTTGCTTCTGGTGTGAAGGAGAAATTTTTATTTTGACCCACGTTTCATTTCAGTTCTCATATCCTCCAATGCAGAAAAGCCATATTTACACTTATTGGGTTTTTAAGGCTCCTTCAAATATAATCTCACTCAAGCATAACTACACCCTGTGAGATAGAGAGAAAAAGCCTACTGGTATTTTGCAGGCGAGGAAACTTATTCTAGGGCACAATGCATTCAAGAACCGAAACTAGAATTTTGATTGACTCCAATTCCAGTGGTCTCCCTACTGCCTACTCTCAGCTGAACACCCCTGGTACAGCTCTGTTCACAGTTTCCTAAAGGGATAGGGGTCCTCCAGCTTCCAGAATTATGTTTTACCATAATTGGCAGCAACTCTGTAAAAAGATGTTCACATTACACACACAGCTCTTTGGTTCCCCTCACAATTCAGTAGCTACAAGCATTTCAGAAATTTTCTAAAAATCAATCTTTTCATCTGAACCAACACTGAAACGCTTGCCCCTGCCTTCCCCTCTGCACATTAAAAGACCCATATATGAGAAAGGATCCCCAGTTTGTTTCCTAGGTTCAGATGTAACAAAATCAGAGAACATTTTATGTCTTGGGACACTGCTAGTGATTGAACTTGCTAAGAATCGCACAAAGGGGAGGCTACCTGGGGCTGTTCCTTTCCTGAGTTTGTCTTGTCTATTTCACTTAGACCATGAGTCGGCTTGGGAAAGACTGTGTTGAATTCTGTGTTTGAAATGCCCCTAGCACACTGTTGGCACTTAAATATAATTATTCAAAATGGAATCATTTAATTAGATAGGAAGAGAGATAGCAAGTCCCGAGATAATAAAGAATAAAGCAAATATGCTGACCGACTGAAGCAAAGCAACAGATAGATACCGATGCACACTCACAAGATAGCTCTTTCAGTTTTCCAATTCAGGGTGCGTGTAACGGGATAAACACATTGTTATATAGCTTGCTTTTGCTGGGTTCACAGAAAACACAGACCACGACTGATGTCCATAACTTCGTAGAGGGATAAGAATTACCTGTCTCATGCCTCATATGACTTAACTCCTTGGGAAAGCTGGAGAAGGGGGAAAGTGGTGGAAGGTGATGGAAGAGGGAGTGACTGAGACTCCACAGACCACAAGTGCTTGACCAGGGAATTAGGAGTGAGTTGTGTATCCACCTGGATGGGACAGGTTATTTACACCAATGAAATCTACTTGGTGGGCAGCTGAAGACCGGGACAATGTGAAGTCATTCACTCCCTGTCCTCTAGAAGCATGATATTCTGAGTGCCAGGCATGGAATCCTACTCTACAGAATGAAATGCTCCTTGGAAACTGACTCTCGGTGCACCTTCTACTTTTGGGCTATAAAATGGCCAATACTTCAGGGTGTACTTTAGACCATGAGAGGGCCCAATCTTACCCCTCCTCTGGCTAAATTCCAGAGCTCCCTAATGAATGTTAGTTCTTACTTATCTTCTGTTCCCAACACCCCCGACCCCTACCAGCCTCCAACCACTGAGGTACAAAACTTGAAAAATTTTTTTTGTTCAAGAAACACAACAGAAGACTTTCATGTTAAGGAGACTTGTACAAGGCACCATTGTAGATGCCCGAGGAATAAGACCTCATACTCAGGGGCCAGATATTACAATAAAGGTTCTCCTTAAACAAATTCTTATCTCAACAAGCAAAAAAAGTCTTAGGTCAGACATTGCCATCACTCAGTTACAAAATTACATAAGTTTTATATTGAAGTTTGCTCACTGATTGTAAAGGGCTGACAATTTAAGAATACTCTTTTAAACTGGTTTTAAAAAAAACCTATCCATTTAGATACCACCCCAAAAGGGGCTCCCCTGGTGGCACAGTGGTTGAGAGTCCGCCTGCCGATGCAGGGGACACGGGTTCGTGCCCCGGTCCGGGAGGATCCCACATGCCGCGGAGCGGCTGGGCCCGTGAGCCATGGCCGCTGAGCCTGCGCGTCCGGAGCCTCTGCTCTGCAACGGGAGAGGCCACAACAGTGAGAGGCCCGCGTACCGCAAAAAAAAATAAAATAAATAGATACCACCCCAAAAAAACCAACTAATTGAAAACTCTTTGAGACAGAAGCAGCCAGCTTGGAAGTCCTCTCCAAGACTTCCTTGCCTGGTCAGTGTCCTTGGGCTTGACTTAAGGAGATCGAAAGAATAGAAAACGTTGTTCAGAAAGGGTCCCTTTGGCACCGTGTCCTCTCTCGACTCTCTGCTGCCTTGACTGACTTTCTATGTTCAGCCAGAGTGGAAGTGTACAGAGAGAAATGTTTCAGCATCAAAGTTCCTTCTCCGTTGTGTATTAGCTGCTTTGGATTTGACAGTCACCGTGGTCTGCCTTACGACTACAGGAGGCAAATTCCGGCCGTCCTGGTGCCAATTCTTGAGCTATTCTTTTCACAGGCTCCAGACTATTTTATAAGAATGGTGTCATCATCAGTGGT